TTTCTCTTCTAGGGATGTGGTGGCTCAGTGGCTAAGATGCTGAGCTTGTTGAGCTTGTCGATCAAAAGGTCGGCAGTTCAGTGGTTCGAATCCCTAGCGCCGCATAATGGAGTGAGCTCCCGTTACTTGTCTCAGCCTCTGCCAATTTAGCAGTTCGATAGCACGTAAGAAATGCAAGTAGAAAAATAGGGACCACCTTTGGTGGGACGGTAACAGTATTTCGTGCGCCTTTGGTGTTTAGTCATGCCGGCCACATGACCACAGAGACATCTTCGGACGGTGCCGGCTCTTTGGCTTAGAAACAGAGATGAGCAGCGCCTCCTAGAGTCAGGAACGACTAGCACACATCTGTGGGGGTGCCTTTACCTTACTTTGCTCTTATGAATGATCCTGGTTTAAAGCAATAATTAAAAGATCAGTTTGAAAAAGTCTATTTTATCATAACCATTTCATGTCCTGGCACCCAAAAAATCTTTCTGTTATAGCAGTTAAAGAGCAGCAGAAGAATTTCTGCTGTAACCACCTAAACCAGGGGTGTCAAACTCAAGGCCCAGTGGCCAGATTTGGCCCACAGGGCCGCCCTGGAAACAGAAATGGACCGGCCCACGGTGCCTCTGCCAGGGAAAATGGAGCTCGGAGGGCCACGCGTGACCCTCCCGAGCTCTGTTTTCACTTGCAGAGTGGTTCAGGAGTCCGTCGCAGCCAAAAACAGAGCTCGGGAGCCTGTTTTCACTGGCACAGCACTCAGGCACCCGACATGAGTAACGTTGAGCTAGCCATACCCACAATGGTCATGCCCCCTAGCCAGTGATGAAATGTAAAATTTGTTACTACTGGTTCTGTGGGCGTGGCTTGGTGGTGGTGGGGGTTAAATGTGACTGGGTAGACGTGGCCAACTTTTTTTTTTTTTAACTTTTAAAAGCATTTTTTCTACAACCTCTGGCCGAAAAGGTTGTTAAAAAGTGCTTTTAAAAGCCTCTGACGATCAGGCAACTCAGCTGGGATTGTCAGAGCCTTTTAAAGGCATTTTTTTTACAACCTCATCGGTCGAAAAAATACTTTTAAAAGTCTCTGACGATCCCAGCTGAGCCACGCGATCATCAGAGGCTTTTTTTAAAAAAAACTTTTCAACGCATTTTTTCGGCCAAAGAGGTTGTAGAAAAAATGCTTTTAAAGGTAAAAAGAAAAAGTCTCTGATGATTGCGCGGCTCAGCTGGGCAATGGGAGAGGGCAGGGATTTTTGCTACTGGTTCTCTGAACCACAGGCCACCATCGCTACCAGATCGGGCGATCCGGTCCAAACCAGGAGCATTTCACCGCTGTCCCTAGCCCCCCGCCCCAAGGTCAAACACAACCATGATGCAGCCCTCAATGAAATTGAGTTTGACACCCCTGAACCTAGATCACATCTAGGGACATCTAGAAATGAGCTTCCAATTTGAAATCGAATCAAATCTTTTTTCAGTCCTAAGACTAGCAAACAGAACACAAAAGGGCCACAATTCATTAAGATAAAAGGAAAAAAATGTAGCTATTCTAAAATTAGTTTTAATACTATGGCTTACTACGCAGGCTATACAGCAGTGACAGTGGTCAAGGAAATAAAAGCAGGGAAATAAAGTCAGATTGATCTGTTAATAACGTCTTGTTGAGATAAAACAAACTTAAATGATCAGGATATTTAGTAAAGAGTGGAAATAATTCTTGGTCTGCATAGAAAGGGAAATGCAGGTAGTCCTTGACTTTTTACGACTTTTCTTGTCACATTTGTTAAGCGAATCACTGCAGTTCTTAAGCTAGTAACACAGTCAATAAGTGAATCTCACTTCCCCAATGACTTGGCTCATCAGGAGGTCGCAAAAGGGGATCCCGTGATCCCGGGAACACTGCAACCATCATAAATGTGAGTCAGTACTCAAGCATCCAAAGATAAATCGCGTGACCAAGGGGGATGCTGTAATGAATGGTCATAAATCCGAAAAATGGTTCATAAGTCACCTTTTTCAGTGTCGTCGAAACTTCGTAATGGTCACTAAATGTCAAGGACTGCCTGTAGAGAATAACATGCTCTTTCAATTCAATTCTTCCTCCACTTCATGGACACAGTCTCGGTTTGAAGGTTGATTGCTCTCACTGTCAGAAAGTTTCTCCTTATTTTCAGGTTAAAACTCTCCTTGTTCAGTTTCCATCCATTATTCTTTGTCTGGCCTTTGGGTGCCTTAGAAAATAGCTTGACCCCTTCCTCTCTGTTGCAGCCCCTCAAATATTGGAAGACGGCTATCCTGTCTCCCCTGGTCCTTCTCTTCACCAGACTAGCCATGTCCAGTTCCTGCAACCGTTTTTCATATGTTTTAGCCTCCGGTCCCCTAATCATCCTGGTTGCTCTTCTCTGCACTCTTTCTAGAGTCTCGACATCTTTTTTATAGTGTGATAACCAGAACTGGATGCAGTATTCTAGGTGTGGTCTTACTAAGCCTTTATAGAGTGGTATTAGTACCTCCCTTGATCTTGATTGTAGCACTTTGTTAATGCAATTTAGGATTGCATTGGCTCTTTTGGCTGCCGCTGCACATTCCTGGCTCATCTTTAATTGGTTGTCCACTAAGACTCCAAGATCCCTGTCACAGTTACTGCTATTAAGCCTGGTTTCAGCCAGTCTATACATGTACTTTTGGTTTTTCTTGCCTAAGTGTAGGACTTTACTTTTCTCTACATTGAATTTCATTTTGTTAGATCTAGCGAATGAGAAAGTCCTCCTGAATTTTGGATCATTATGTGACCGAGATATCTAGCTGGTTGGAGAAGATATGAAGTGTGAGGGGTCCTGGGTGCTCTCCCTCCCTCCCTCCCTCCTTCCCTCCCTCTTTCTTTTAGGATTTTATTGATTTTCTATTGTTTACATTTTGTTACTGCTTAATAAACACCGTATTGTCTGGGTTATTTAATTGCTTAACAATGCTGATTACATTCTTAATCTCCGCCTCTTTTTTTCCAGCCACCGGTAAAATAAAGTCCATGTTTGATAATACTCTGCGTCTTCTTTCTGTTTAATCTTCAGCGAAAGTCGTTCCATTTCTGCACAATCCAGTATCTTCCTAATTATCTCTTCGTCTCGCGGTATTCCTTCATTTCCCCAATATTGTGCAAATGTAATCCTCACTGCTATTAAGACATGCGATATTAAATATGTACTTTGCTTATCAAGTTTTCCTGATGTTATTCCTAATAAAAACAGTTCAGGTTTAAAATCTATATGTTTTCCTATCGTCTTTTCAAACCATTTATGTATGTTTCGCCCCAGGTGCTCTCTGAGCTTGCTTGTTTTCTTGCAGATGTTTCATGACCCAACTAGGTAACATTATCAGTGCTAGTAAGGAGTGGGGTTTGCTGTCAGTTTATATTCTGATGGCTGTGTGGGTGGGGCGGTCTTAGAGATTCTTTGGTTTACTGTTGGCTCTTTGGCAGTTCCTTGATTGGGGTGTTGTTTACTTGATTGTGGGTCTGATGTTAACCTTGGAGTTCATCTATGCTGATATGGGTGCTGATGGCTGGTGGAGAGGTGCTACGGTCTTTTTTGTTCTCTTTTGGGCTGGTTGATTGTCTCTTTTGCATAGTCCAGGGATCGGCAACCTTAAATACTCAAAGAGCCACAAAGGTCCTAACCGGAAGCCCCGTCATTCAATTCTGGAGCTGACCGGAAGTCTGGTTCCCCCACCATAGAGTCTCCTCCTAGCGTGGCATCCTTTTTCCTCTCCCTGTCCTAACTGAAAGCCCTATCAACCGTGGAGCCGACCAGCGACAAGGAGCTGCAGCAGAGGGATGAGCCACATGCAGCTCCAGAGCCGCAGGTTGCTGACCCCTGGCATAGTCTATAGATGTTGCTAATGTATATGTGTCTATTGATGGCTGATTTGTCAGAGTGCCAGGCTTCTAGAAATTCCCTGGCATGTTTAGACTTGGCGTGGTCTAGGATGGTCACATATGAAACAATGGTTAAATCTGTATATATGTTTTGAAATCAAAGAATTTTCATTATGTCTTCGGACTGCCAGTTGGTGTTCATGGATGACTTCTGCCAGTCTTCTAGCTTTTTGTCCTCCATAGTGGTTGTTGTAGTCCTTACATGAAGATATGAAGAGTAGCTCCAATCCCATTACAGGTAGTTCTTGACTTACAAGCGTATGTTCGAAATTACCTCACTGAAAAAGGTACCTCACACTTACGACAACCATTGCAGCATCCCCATGATCCAAATTTCAGAGGCTTGGCAACTGACTCATATTTATGACAGTTGCAGTGTCATAAATGGAAGGACAAGGGGAGACATGATAGCAGTGTTCCAATATTTGAGGGGCTGCCACAGAGAGGAAGAGGTCAAGCTACTTTCCAAAGCAACCTAAAGGCCAGCCAAGGAACAATGGATAGAAACTGATCAAGGAGAGATTTGACCTGGAAATAAGGAGAATTTTTTTGACAGGGAAAACAATCAACCCATGGAATAGCTGGTCTTCAGAAGTTGTGGGAGTTTCATCACTGGAGGCTTTCAAGAAGAGACTGGACTGCCATCTGTCAGAAATGGTGTAGGGTCTCCTGCTTGGGCGGAGCATTTGGACTAGATCACCTACAAGGTCCCTTCCAACTCTGTTAATCTGTATCTCTTTCCCGGGATCATGTGATCCCCTTTAGTGACCTTCTGACAAAAAAAGTCAATGGTGGGAAACCAGATTTACTTAACCACCCTGTTACAACCGCCATGTTTCACTTAACATCTGTGGCAAGAAAGTTTGTAAAAAAAAACCCTTCACCACTGCCTTGCTTAGCAGTGTAAATTTTGGGCTCGATTGTGGTTGTAAATCGAGGACTATCTGTATTGATAGAAGTTGGGAGGGCATGATATTGAGAAGAATCACATTCTTTAGTCAGTTTTCTCAGAGGATTGTTGAGACAAGGTTCACATGGAATAATATTTAAACATTTTCTCTTCTTTTCTTCCCATCCAGAAAGCATCTGAGGAGCTTATTGTACACGATCGCATTTGCCTTTGTTAACAACAAGCAAGTGGGAGAGATAACTCAAACCAGCAATTTTACTCCTAAATGGTGAGTCATCCAATCCACAGTCATACAGAGTATTATAATATCATTGGATTATGTTGCTCTATTTACAGGGGTTCAGATTTATACAGAAATAGCAAGTGATAGTAACTGTTACTAGCATGATTTGACCATTCTGATTACTTTTTTTTGAAAAAACATACATTTTCCAAAACTTAATATGGCTAATGTAATTTTTAATTAATAATCTGCTTTTAAATAATTAAAAAGACTTTCGACATCATTGGTCATTGACGGATATTGCTGTATATCAGATGAAGGGAATTTTTATACATTTATCTTCCAGTCAAGCTTCAGATGTTAGTCTCTGTTTAGAAGCGAGGAATAGTTTTGTGCAAAAAAGTTTGCTCCAGACACAATGACAAACCGAGGAACTTAAGCTTCCTGTTTCTCCCTAGATAAAGGAAAGAGTTAGGAGAAGAAGCTATTGGAATTGAAGGTTGGCCATTAATCATTGGGATGGCAGTTTGTTGATGGGTTTGAATTAACCCTGAGAGAAACTGTACATTATGAATGTCTTTATGGCACCGTTATTGATAAATTGTGGGATGTTTGGGGTTTGGCGCTACGATTTTGAGGCTGGGCAAATGTTTCTCCTTTTTCATTTTGGGTCTCATGATGCTCATGATTAGCTTATGAACCGCAAGATTTTACTAGCCATGACCAGAAAAAAAGAAGCTGGATTGGGTCAAATTCAGTTTAGATAATTTTGAATCCCTGGGTCCTCCAGTGATGATGGCAGAACCTCCCTTGAGGTAGGACAAGCAACAATGGATGGAAACTAATCAAAGGGAGATGCAACCCAGAACTATGGAGAAATTTCCTGTCAGTGACAATAATTAATCAGTGAAACAGTTTGCCTTCAGAAGTTGTGGGTGTTCCATCATTGAATCAGAATCAGAATAGAGCTGGAAGGAACGTTGGAGGTCTTCTAGTCCAGCCCCCTGCTCAAGCAGGAGACCCTATACCATTTCAGACAAGTGGCTATCCAGTCTCTTCTTAAGAACCTCCAGTGATGAAGCACCCACAATTTCTGAAGACAAGCTCTTCCACTGGTTAATTGTCCTCATTGTTAGGAAGTTTCTCCTTAATTCCAGGTTGCTTCTCTCTTTGATTACTTTCCATCCATTGTTTCTTGTCTTGCTTTCTGGTGCTTTGGAAAATAAGTTGACCCCCTCTTCTTTGTGGCAGCCCCTCAAACACTGAAACACTGCTATCATATCCCCCCTCATCCTTCTTTTCTCTACACTAGCCATACCCAGTTCCTGCAACTGTTCTTCATGCGCTCCATGGCATGGGACCTGGGTACCTTCGAGACCGACTTCTGCCACCAATAGCCTCCCACCGGCCAGTTCGCTCCCACAGAGAGGGTTTCCTCAGGGTGCCATCGGCCAAGTTATGTCGGCTGGCGACACCCAGGGGGAGGGCCTTCTCTGTGGGAGCCCCTGCCCTGTGGAATGAACTGCCCCCGGAAGTGCGTAAGGTCTCCGACCTCCGGGTATTTCGTTGTGCACTCAAGACCCTGTTGTTCCGCCAGGCTGGGCTATCAACATAACAATTTTAAATTGGGTTTTAAATTCCTGGGGTTTTAAATTGAGCTGAATTCATTTAATAATTTTAAATTATTTTAACTGATGTTGTCTTGTGTTTTTAATAGGCTGTACACCGCCCTGAATCCTTCGGGAGAAGGGCGGTATAGAAATAAAATTATTCTTATTCTTATTCTTATTCATATGTTTTTGTCTCCAGGCCTTTAATCATCCTAGTTGCTCTTCTCTGCACTTTTCCCGAAGTCTCAACATCTTTTTTTGTAATGTGGTGACCAAAATTGGATGCAGTATTCCAGTTGTGGTCTTACTAAGGTTTTATGAAGCGCTACTAAATTCTTCACGTGATTTTGATTCTATGGAATCAAATTCTACTGGAGGCTTTTAAGAAGAGACGTTTGTCTGGAATGGTTTAGGGCCGTGATGGCAAATTTTTGGCATGCGTGCCAGAGGTGGCACACAGAGTCTTCTCTGTGGGAACGCACACCATCGCCAGCTGCTCTTCTGCTTTCTGGCATGCACATGGGTGCCGGCCAGCTGGTCTTCACTGGCTCTGGAGCACCGGAAAACGGCTTGAAAAACAGGCAAAAAACAGGCTGTTTTCTGGATCTTTTGGAGGGCATTTTTCAGACCATTTTCAGGCCATTTTCTGGCTATTTACGAGCCATTTTTAGGCCAAAACTGGCCCGATGAACAGCCCAAAAAACGGCCTGAAAATGGTCTAAAAATGGTCTGGAAAAGCCCCCCAAAATGGCCAAAAAACAGCCAAAAAACAGGCATGCGCACACTGGCCAGCTGGTCTTCAGTTTTCCAGTGCTCCACCGCGCACACATGCACACACATGCATGCACATTGCATGCATGTGGTGCCAAAAAGATTTGCCATCATTGGTCTAGGGTCTCGTGCTTGAGCAGGGAGTTGGATTAGAAGACCTCCAAGGTCCCTTCCGACTCTGTTATTCTGTTACTCTAATAAATGTTCAGTGTTATTGTAAAAGAAAGGTGAGGAGAATAATTTAGCAGAAGGGAACTTATTGGCTAAGGGCGTATAAGGGCCTAATCCGGCTAAGAAGGAACTCATCTTTTGAGACCATCGACACAAGCTGATGCTTTCATTGTTCCTTTGTTGGGAGCTGCTTGGTACCTTTCAAGAAAGAGGCACAGAGGGCAATTCTGAGGGCACAGGGGGGCTTCCTGTGGTTTTTAGTATTAAATCGTCTTCATGCTTCAGTTGAGTGCGCCGGATAGGAGTCTGCAGATGGCTTTGAGGCAATTCATCTATTTATCTTCCTACTGCCTCTAAGTTACCTTGAAGCAAAAGAGGATGGTTGCTAAGCAACTGCTCAAATGCCTTCTCTGGCTTCTAAGATAATCATTAGACCAGCTGTCTGAAAGACGAGAACATCTGCAGGAAACAGGGGTTAGATCTGGCTTAATATGCTGACCCTCATAAATAGGCAGGCCTAATGATAAGCTAGCATGGAAGTCTAACCCCCCCCCCCGAAAAAACATCTCTCTTACTACTCTTCTGTGAAACTCAAGGAGGTTATTTTTAACGTCACTCCTTTCTTCTCATATATTTTATTGCTCCTCGGCAAAATTCAAGCTTGGAGATCCCAATTTACTTGATGGCCTTGAAAGTTTGTCCTTGTGTTTAGTACCTGTGCTGGAAAGTCCTTGACTTGCAACAGTTCTAAATCAAGGGAGCCTTGGAAAATTACAATGGCACTGAAAAATGAGACTTATGACCGTTTTTCACACTTACGACCGCTGCAGCATCCCCACAGTCCCGTTGTCAGATTTCGATGTCATCTCAAATAAAATAAATTGCATTTTCAAACAAATAGTCTTTGAAGAAATCTTTCATTTTATTAAGCACGACAACCTGTCCCCGATTGTGGCGTAGCCAACTCTGACTTCCCGACCCCAAACCTTCCCTTTCCATTCCCCAATTCTCTGTGTCTCATTGGCCCTCTTCCAAATCACTCTCCCCATATCTACTACTTCAGCTCCCAGGAATGTTCCCTCTCCCATCTCATCTCCTAGGAGATATTATCTTCAGGGAAAATAAGTAGGTTAGAAGTCAAGCGTCCTCTTGCCAGCTGCCCCCTCTTCTCCTTCTTATGTCAGCACTAGAGTAAATGCAGGTTGAAGTGCTGACACCCATGATCAAAATTCGGATGCCTGGCAATTGGTTCGTGTTTAGGATGGTTGCAGTGTCCTGGGCAGGGGTGGGATTCAAAAATTTTAGCAACCGGTTCTCTGCCTGGTTGCTGGGTGGGCATGGCCATGGTGGGCGTGGCCTACTTGGCCTCCTGCACCACGGTGGGGGAGGGGAGTGTTTTCACCCTCCCCAAGCTCCGGAGGCTTTCCTCGAGCCTCTGAGAGGGCAGAAACGGTCTCCCCCAGGCTCTGGCAGCCCTCCAGAGGCCGAAACAGGCCCATTTCCAGTCTTCCAGAACTTCCGGGAGGCCCATTTTTTGACCTCCCAGAGTCTCCATGCGGACACTGCACTTACCTGGCATCCAAAACGGGCTGCGTGGAGACTCCTGGGAGGGGCAGGGTGGGGTGGGAGGGGCCAGCCAGTCCTTGCAACTACCGGTTCAGCGAACCAGATGTAAAAGTAGCATCCGGTTTGTCCGAACCAGTCTAAACCGGTTGAATCCCACCCCTGGTCCTGTGATTCCCTTTTGCGGCCTTTTGACAAGCAAAGTCAACGTGGAAATCCAGATTTCACTTCACAGCAGTGGTACTAATTTAACAACTGAAGTGACTACTTAACCATTGTGGCAAAAAGCTTGTAAAATAGGGCAACATTCACGTAACTGTCTCGCTTCTAAGCCACAGAAATGTTGGGCTCAATTTGGTCGTAAGTCGAGGAGTACTTAATGTACTAGGATGGAAAGATAAATACTGTAAGCTAATTATGTAATTTAAACTCCTATTCCAGGAGTGGCTGGTATAGAGCATTTATTGTAATTTATGAATTAGGATGATAATCATGTACCTTTCAACGTATTAAAAAAAAAATATGAACTTATGGAAACAGTCAGTTGATTGGGCATCTTAGCCTGGTACCCATTACAGTTTAATCACTGAATGTTTAATGTTAAAAAAGTTTAATGTTAAAAAACATTAAAAGCAGCTTTATGCAAAAGAAAATAGGTAGGAGAAATCTTGTGTATAAATGCTCTATTAAGCAGTCGGAAATCCAAGCAATTTTTTTTTCTGAGTAATTAGCTCCCTTTTAACTGATTAACAAATAAATCCATTGATTTAAAACTAAAATACAAGTTTAATACAGATGCTTTCTTGAAGTGCTGGGGGAAAAAAGGCATGCTTAATTTAAACAAAAACAAAAGGCTATTTTCTGTTTAGTTTTCAGTTGAAATAATGTTTCAGAACCACCCTGGCTTGAAAATAAATGCCTTGTTCTAGA